GCGCCGTGTTCTGCTTCTTGAGGCGCCGCTGCTGCTCCAGCTGCTCGCGCTCCCGCTCCACGGCGCGCTGCGCCTCCCGCAGCCGCTCCAGGTCGTGCTGGTAGGCGCGCCGCTGCCGCTCCAGCTGCTCGCGCTCCTGGCCCAGCCGCTCCTGCAGCTGCAGCGACTCTTCCTCGCGCTGCCGCAGCCGCGCCGAAGCCACGTCGAGCTCCTGCCGCTGGCGCTCCCGCTCGCGCTCCCAGCGCTGCTGCTCCAGCCGCAGCCGGCCCTGCTGCTTCTGCACGCCCGCCAGCTCCTCCCGCTGCTTCTCGAAGTTGCGCTGGCGCTCCTGCTCCAGCAGCAGGTTCCCGCGCGTGGACTGCAGCCGCAGCTGCTTCTCGCGCTCCTGGAGGGCGGCCCTCTGCATCTCCACGTAGCTGTCCTGCTGGGCGATGACGGCCTGCGGGGGGCGAGGCGGGGCGTGGGGGGAGGCCCCGATGTTAGGAGGCGGCTGGCCCTTCCCCAGACCCTAGCCTCCGGCAGGAAAAGGGCCCGGGCGCAGCCCCTGTACCTGGAGGCTTAGCAGCAGCTGGGACAGCGTCTGGATCCGCTGCACGAGCTGTGGAGAGGGAGAGAGACACGGGCTCCCTGCACGAAGCTGCGCGGGGCGTGCATGCCGACCCCCGGGGAGATGGACGAGCCCCGAGCCTACCTCCAGCTCCAGGACGGCGGGCAGACGGGGGCCAGACTCCGCACCTGGCACCGTGACCTGTGGAGGCAACAGCGTCAGACTTGAAGAGCTAAGGACCTGCTGATTAGTGACCAACAGGTCCTTCTCCTCCCAGCCCCGCCTGGCCCTGTGACTCGCGTTGAGTCTTGGCATCTGGAAAACAACCGCCCAGGGCAGCCTTCCTGGAGGCGGGAAGGCGGCTGTCGTGGGCTCACCCTGCGGAGGCTTGGGTCACACAGCAGGTGGCCGAGGGAGCCTCAGCCGCAGCCCTGCTCGGGCCCCAGTGTGCCCCAGCCTCCGGGCACCAGGACACTTGTACAGACCCAATGCTGGCGGGCCCCGCAGGGTCTCTCCTCTGCTGAGGCGGCTACAGCTACTGCCCTGGGCCTGTCCCCTCTCTCATCCCATTCCCGGCCATCGTGGGCCACTCCCAGGGACAGCGTGTTGCCGCTAGATGGAAAAACTAGACCACGCAAGCACAGGCTGTTCACACTTGGCAACGGTAACGAAAAGGGCTTGGGCGGCCCTGGACCTGGCTACGGGAGCGACATACCACAGGTGGTGGCTCCTCAGAGGCCCCGGGGGTGTCGCCGGGCCTGGAGTCTGGGCTGCTCACCGGGCCTTGCCAGTCTCGGGGGCCAGGGTCGTTGCTGCAGACCTTCTTAAAACTGCCGTCTGAAAACCCCAATCCAGGTGCGTGAGGGGGCTGGAGGTCCCCCAGGAGTCCGGACGGGGCCCCACAACCCCAGAACCCAGGTAGGAAATTGTGGCCAGGCCGCTACCCTTGGGCTTGTGCCAAAATGGCAGCATCAGAGACACACGCCAGCAGGAAAGGGAGGGGCTGGTCTGTGTGCCGCTGTCGGAGCATGACCGACAACACCCTGAAGGTTCCAGAACCTCACCACAGAGGGTTTATAATCGTTGAGGGGAAGCAGCAGCAGAGACACCCAGCAATAAATGCCTCGGCTTTGCAAAGGGAACGTTCTAAGCTGTCCCGAGAAGCCCCACTCACTCTTGCCGGGGCTGCTCACGGTGTCGCAGCCCCCGAGGGTGTCTGCCCTGCGGGGCAGGCCCGCGGAGCCTCCCCCATCTTCTGCCTGACCGTTGGCGCTGGCCAGCTGCCTGCAGAGCAGGTTCTGGATGTCCTCAACTGTGGAAGGAGATGGGAGGAAGCGAGTTGCCCTGTGGAACCACGCGGGGCACAGGGATCGGGGCCTAGAAGCTTGCAGGGCCTGGGTCACAGTCTTCTAATTTCTGTTGTGGGACTTCAGCCCCCCGCTCTATGCATTCCCCTAACTTCAGGTACTGCAGCCAGGACAGGCCAATGCATGTCTGCAGGTCAGGCTGGACCTCGGGGCAGCCTGTGGGAGGGGCCGGGGAAGAACTCGGGTGTGCGCTTGTGTGTCAGGGGTGCACACAGAAGGTCGGAGGCCATGGGAGGGTGGCCTCTGGGGGCAGGTCTGGTCACACAAAGTGCTTTAGGACAAACAGGCTTTGGCCAGTGAGGCGGTGGGGAGAACATTCCAGGCCCAGGCACAGGATATGAGAGGGTCCTCAGGGGGCCAAGAACAATGGCCCCCGAAGAAATGTGAGGAAGCAGAAGGTCAGTGTGGCCGGAGGACACGAGGCGGAGCAGAAGTGGAGTCCACAAGGGACCCCCCCGGTCTCTGTTCCCTTCACTCTGAAGGAAAGGTCTGGAGGGCAGCTGTCTCTCTCGTTTGTCACTGAGAGCGCAGTTGCCAGCTGTCCGTCTGGACCCAGTGAGCACTGGCCGGCTGGCCTGACCCAGGCTGGGCCTCATGCGGAGCTGGCCCAGCAGCTGTGTGGGGGCCGCCGGGGGCTCCAGCAAGGACCCTGACAGCTCCACGAGGCGGGCCTGGCAGCAGAGTGCTCACGGAGGGCAGGAGACTGGCCAGCGCCCCCCTGTGGTCGCTGTGTTCAGAAGCCTCCTCCCCCCAGAGGTGGGGTTCCAGGCCCAGGGGCAGGAGCCCTCTGAAATGACCCACCAAATGTGGATATGTGCATGATCTCTGGGGAGATCACTGGTGCCCCACTTCTCAGAGAGGAGGGCCTCTTGAGGGTGGGGAACCCATCTCGGTCGACTTCAGATCCTAGGGGACTGGCGTGGTGCCTCATGTAGCAGGTGCTTGGGAGAAGGTGCTGAGTCTGCCGGGTGTCAGCGCTGCTCCTGGGAGAATGCCCGCCCCAGCCAGACAGAAGTGCGTCCCAGACAGGGTGGCAAGTTGGCCACACTGGGTCACGTGCCGTCCTGGGGTCCCCCCGAGAACCACCCCCCACCCCAGGTGGAACTGTGGCGGCAGCAGCAGCCGGGTGCCCAGTGAGGGCCCCCAGGCTCGGCTCCTTACTCTCACTCATGGCCGACTTGAGAATCAGCTCCCCCTGCACGGTCTCGGAGGGGTCCCCTCCTCGGAAGAGGAGCCGTGACGGAGTGACGTCTTCCAGCCCGCTCGTCTCGGCCATCTCCAGGTAGATCTGCTGCTTCTCGCTGAGGCTCTGCGCAATCTGCTGGTCTTTCAGGTTCAGTCGCTCTGCAAAGGGATGGGGGGCGGGGGGGTGGGCGGGCAGCGGTAGGCCTTCCAGGATCATTTCTCCCAGGAGTGGGCTCTGGGAGGCCCCTGCAAGGGGTGGGGGGGCTGGACTCTGGGGACCCCGGCTGACCCGCGGCCCACCCTTCCAACAGCCCACAGGGAAGGTGAGGGCACAGGCCTGCCTTCTGATTGTTCGCCCCAGCTATGAAAAACTAAACACCATGGGGTACACGCGAGGACTTTCACGGGCCGATTTATTAGTTTGGGCCAAAGTGAGAATGTTCAAAGACTTAGTTTTCCTATCCTGAGCGTGTTCTGTCAGGCATTTAGGCCAAACTCCTTGCAGGTCTGTGGGCTTTATGCCTCTTTTGTAGTTGCGGCCACGGCAAAGCTCTCACTGGTGACTGCTAGAATACACGTGTCACGTTCAGCTGCATCTCACAGCCTCCCGTGGTTTTCTGGTTGATTCTATTAGATTTTCTAGGCAAATAATCATGTCACACGTGAAACACAATTCTGTCCCTTCCCTTCCAGTCATGATCTGACTTCTGCTCCTCCCCTTATCACCCAGGCCGGAGCTCGCAGGATAAAGGTAATAATGGGGACAGGGGCTGGCCCAGCCTTGCTTCTGATTTTGAGGAGCGTCCCTGAGGTCCCAGTGTTAAAGATGAGATCAGCTTTTGATCCAAGATGGGAACGAATATCTCCATAAAGAAAGCACCTATTTCTAACGCAATCTTGTCACGAACGTGTAAGGAACAGATATCGTTGTAGGACTGTGGCATCCACAGAGGTGTGTCCACGGACATGTGCCTAGCACAGGGTGTGTGTTACATAACCATCCCGCAGAAATAAAGAGTCTGAATGAATACGGCATTAGCGTTGTGCTCTCGGGGTCAGTGGGATTTTCCACCCCTTTCTTCTGGACATTTTTATTAATCAGTGCCCTTGAACGTATGCCTCTCCCTACAAAAAGAAATAAAATATAAACTGCCTAATTTTACGTGCTTACTGTCTAAATGCTACCTAATTTAAAAATAAGTGACTCAGTGAGAGGAAGGAGAGAAGCCGACTGAGACCACAAAGTACTGGGAACCGTTGTTGGCAGTGATCTCACTTCAGTCCCACAGGAGTCTGTTAAAGCCGGGAGAAGAATGGATAAGCACATAGGTGCATCTGTACAATGCAACAGTATTCAGCCTTAGGAAGGAAGGAAACACACACCCTACAACATGGCTGAACCCTGAAGCATCATGGTCCGTGGAATCAGCCAGACACAAGAGGGGAGAGATCGCAGGACTCTCTATACACAAGATCCCCAAGACAGGCCAATTCATAGAAACAGAGAGCAGAGCAGAGGTTACCAGGGGCTAAGGGAAGAAGGAGCAGGGAGTGACAGCTAATGGGCGCGGGGTTTTTTTGTGGAGAGCTGAAAATGGTCTGAAATTGTGGTGACAGTTGCACAATCTTGTGATATACACCCGAAGCCACTGCATGGTATGCTTTAAGTGGGTGAACTGTGTAGTGTGTGAATTATGTCTCAATAAAGTAGCTGGAAAAAAAATTAAAACAGGGCGGGGAGAGCCGAGGTCCCCAACCACAAAGCCAGGGCTGGTCTCGGTCTGCCAGGCTCCAGAAGGAGGCTGTGGGGTCCCGTGCTATTCCAAGTCCCCTTGGGGCTTTTGTGTACGTGACCTGGGACACCCACAGCGAGCTCCTTCCTGGACAGGGACGGAGGGAGAGGGCAGTGTGTGTGGCGAAGCGCGAGTGTCTCGAGGTGGCTCAGGGGCCCCGAGCGCCACCCTCTCCCTTTCTCATACCCCCTCCTGCCGATCGCCAGCTCATGACAAAACCTCACTACAAAGGCCCCACAGAGCTGTAGGACACGAGACAGCCCACGGGAGTCACTCCGTGGCCAATCCCAGTGGGAAGGAACAGAGATGCCGCTCATGATCCCTGGCCCACTGCCTCAAGACGGTGCTGTGGAGCCTTCTGACCACACGAGGGACACATCGTGGGAGTCAGAGGTCCAGACTGACTCCCCTTACCTTGGAAGTCCCTCAGCCTCAGGGCGCGGGCCTCGACCACCTTCCTCTCCTCTTCGGCCTCGCTGAAGGGCCCCTCCTCCTCGTCGGGACAGCTGCAGGGAGAATGGGCAGATGGGCGAGAACGCCTCACGGGCAGGCTGGCCTCAGTGACGGGCCCTGAGAGCTCTGTCTGCAGAACCGGCTGCTGAGAACGTCTCGTTCTGTGGGTGACTTAGCTTGCTAACGGTGTGGGAGAAAAATGAGGGAGAACAGAACGGCAGCCACCGGCATTCATCCCGTCTCTCAGGGTCCACACGTAACCAGCCATGGGTTTACGTGCCTGGTCACGACCCAGGAGAGGAGGAGACTGAGGACAGCTCACTTCCGGGGGACCTGCAGAACTGGCATTGGGTATGGGGGCAGCTCTGGGCAGGCTAAGGGTCCGGGAAGCTACCAGGTGTAAAGAGAGGGAGCAGCAGGCTGGCTGGGTCCTGAGGGGTCCCCTGGCCTGAGGAAGAAGGACAGGACACCACAACCTGCTCCAACAGGCCCGGCCCCCTGTCGCATCCCACCAACACCCACAGTTAGAACCGCCTGGGCCCGCACCCCCCGGCCAGCAACGTCGCGGCCCCTTTAGCAACCGACGGGTTAGGCTGTTGTCGGAAGGTGCCAGAATGGTGCCACGTGTCCCTTTTAGACGAGGGGGATGGACAAAGCACCGAGGCGGAATGAGGGAGAGGAAAGGCAGAGGGGTCTCCGGCCGACCTGTGACCTCTAGTGCTCTCTCAGGCCCTTCAAGGCCACAGCTGACTGGGTGGCTGTCAAAGCCCAAGGCTACACGGCTGGGGGGTCGGGTCGGGAGGGGGCGCACACACGGGCCCTTCTCACTTCTCAACGGCCCTTCTGATGTGAGCCATCCAGGTGTTCCTCTCCTCTTTGGAGCTGGTGTAGATCTCGTACATCTCCGGGCCTCGCAGGGAGACGCTGATCAGGAACATGGCTTTCTCCTCGTTGGCCACTTCCCTCACGATGAGCTTTTGTAATGAGATGACCGGGCGCTTGGAGTCCTGTGTGGGTGCAATGCGGTGGTGAGGGGGTAGCTTCACCCTGCCGTATCTGAATGGCTGTCACGCGCCTGTCTGAGGGGGAGGGGACAGGAGGCTGCAGGTGCCCCATCTATTTTCAAACAATGGAAAGCAGAGATATTTTGCCACGTGGGGAAAAAAGACACGACTGCAACGATCTCCTCGTATACTCTGTTTATCGTGCTTAAACACGTGTTTTATAACCAGTGATGCATGCCACTGGACAAAACCCAAGAGATACAAGGGTAGGTAGTGTATGATCACAAATGAATCTTCCTCCTGACTCTGTGCCCCAAACAGCCATAGCCAGGCAGTATTCCTCTCTGTGATCCTACGAGAGACGATGCTCTGACACAGCCCGGTAAAATGCACGTTAACTGGCAGTGATGGGCTGAACTGTGCCCCCCAAATCCTGATGTTAAAGCCCTAACCCTCCTGGCGCCTCAGAATGTGATTCTGTAGAGGTGGGGCCTTTACAGAGGTGCTTAAGGTAAGATGAAGTCATTAAGGGAGGGGGTCCCATCCAGTAGGTCTGGGGTCCTACTAAGAGGGGACGGTGCACAAAGTCACACGGAGGGGACGCCATGTGAAGATACGGGGAGAGGATGGCAAGCCAATGAGAGAGGCCCCAGGGGAAACCAGCCCTATGCAGGCCAGGCTTGGCTCCCGTGACAAGGGTGTCCCGGGATCAGAGCGCCGTGGGGCCAAGATGCTCACAGCTCCCAGGGAGCAGCTGCCTGAGCTGGGGTCTTTGGTAGGGAAGGAAGGAGGGGATCTCCTGGCAAGGATGCGGGAGCCCCCGAACCCCCAAGCCCCTGAGAGAGGAAGAGTCACGGAGACGAGGAGGCTAAGACCAGACAGGATGTCAGCCCAAGGCCCTGAGGCCTCCTCAGGCAATCAGACAGGACCCTGGGTCTCGGAAAATTCTACTCCTGCCCTGTTGGAACCTCCTGGCCCCTGGGAGGACGTGGGACAGCGGGTGAACTTTCGGATGTGTCTTCCCGGCCGCCCTCCGACTCAGCTTCACAGCCACCCCCTAACGTCCCAGAGGGCAGGACCTAACATCTGATGAGATGGGATACATACCACGGAGGCAAAGACGTATTTTTGATCCTTTTCTTGTAGCAGCAAAAGCACATCAGTCAGAAGGACAACGAGAACATCTAATGAGAAAGCACAGAAGGAAATGTCTCACAGGGTCGCAGGGCCACATGGGTCCTGCCAGGCAGACCCACGCGTCCAGGGAAGGCTCTAGCCCCAGGGCACAGGGGCTGGTCGCTCAGCCTGGCGCCATGATGCTTCTGCAGGAGCCTGAGGGTTTCCGTCCACCTCACGGCTCTCCATCACCTCCTGGGTTCCAACATTTGGCACAGATCAGTGGCTGGAGGTTGCTGAACCTGCCATTCAGTCCCTGTTGTGATGGCACCTGCAGGCCTGGCCTCTGAGATTCTCTGGCTGATTCCTCAAACATGAATTGTGTCCCCCCCCACCCCCTCCTGCTCCCAGGTCAGCGGGGACTTGAGCCAGGGACGTCGTGGCCTGCCCTCGGGCCCCCTGTCCCTGCGGGGACATCTGACAGCAGAGCCCTGGCACGTCTTGCACGGAGTGTCCAGCCAGAGCCCGTGTGTCTCAGAAAGCAGGAGCAGTGCCCTCTCCAGACACCCAGACCAGACGCCTCTCCCCACGAGTCCTCTCGCCTGCGGCCCGTGGGCTCCTCCTCGCAAGCATTTACTGCACTTCTCACTACTTCTGGCTTCCTTCCTTCTTTCTTCCTTTCTGCTCACTGGCTAGAGCCCCCGAGGGCACAGCCCTCCCACCACCCACCACCCACCTGGGTGTCGTGCACCCAGGAGGCGCTAAATTGCCTGCTGGATGCTCGCCCGTGCAAGCTACAAACAAGCACATCTGATCCCTGGCCACCTCAGGCACTCCCCGCCAACGATCTTGAAAAAAATGCTGGTGTCAACGGACAGGTTAGGAGGTTTCCAGAAGCTCGTGGTTTGGCCCGGGGAAACGCAGGCTGGAGGCCAGCGTGCTCTCTGGTCTGCAAGTGCACTGTGGGTTTTGGAGGCGGGGCCCACAGTACCCCCCGGGCAGTGAGCGGGAGGCTCGGGGACGCGGGGGGCCCTTCCGCGGCTGCCCCCCGGCGGCGGGGGCCCAGCCTTACCTTTCAGGCGCCCCGACGTGGTCTTCCAGCACAGCGTGCCCTCCAGATGCAGCTGCCGCTGTAACATGTCCTCCTTGCGGAAGGTCAGGCCGTTCTTGAGCTTGCTGGAGGACTTCAGGTCCACCCTCCCCGCGATCTCCCGGAGGCGCTGGCCTCTCTCGAAGTCGCTGACCTTGGCGTCCACTTGCGAGATGATGTCTCTGATGAGCTTCAGGGCCTGGCTCAGGTCTCTGTGGTCCTCGCTGCCGGCTGCCACACACCGCAGGGTTAGCGCCTTCCTGTGTCCCCGTTCACAAACACGACAGAGGTGGACGTGCTATGGGCTCTACGAGATGCGCTCCCTGAAGCCACTGCTCAGAGGACCCTCAAGAATCACCTCCCAACCCGCGCCTGGATGTAAATGCTTCTCCAGATAAAGGCGGCGGCATCTGGTTCCCGCTGAGACACAGCCTCCACTGAACGTGGAAGCCGACACGTGACTGAGAGACAGAAGCGGCCCTGCCTAGCCCTGCTGCCTGCCCCTCCTCAGTGAACGCCCCCCGCCCCCAACCCCGTGCCCACCAGCTCTGCGCAGAAGACTCCCTCCACCACCCACCATCACCCAGAGTTGGGTGATCCAAGAATCTGCTCATTCTCGCAGGGCCCGAGTCTCCTGGGGGTGGGGCTCGTGTGGTCAGGCCCTGGCCTCTGAGAACCCCGGGCTGGCCCGTGGGCCCTTTCTCCTCCGCCCGCCCAGGTTCCAGGCACGTGACACGAAGGCCATCTCTGTGCCTGTCGGGACCAACATTCATCTACTCCCTGGATGACGACCCAGGGCCTTCTGTGGCCCGGCCTGTGCCAGGGGCTGCGGGGTGACAGCGGGCAAGTAAGACCGGCACCCCATCTTTCTTGAGTCGGAAACCCCACAACCCAGCACGGTGGATTCGGCATGGTGGCAGCTCGGCTAATGACTGCTGAGCCGCCATCGCGGCTCCAGAGTCTCTCCTCCAGAGAACCAGGGAGGGAGCACAGAGGGGGCGCTTCTGCAACCCACCGCTAAAACGGGGCAGGAAGACCGAGATCGCTCCTCCAAGCGGCCGTGGGCGAGGCCGTGAGGAGAGCTACTGTACCTTCTGTGTTCTGAATAATGCGCTCCACCAGCACCGGGTACTTGGTTATGCGCTGCGTGACCAGGAGGATACATTCCTGCACACCAAGCCGCCGCACGATGGAAAAGTTGCCGATTTTCTAGGCAATGGGAAACAAAATGCCCCGCTGGCACCCTGGCTCCTGCCAAATCAGCTGGGGGCACCTTCCTTTTTCAGGTCGCCAAGGCCTTTTGTCTCTGTTGCTTCACTGAGTACTTGAAAGGGGGGCTCATCTGCTGTGCGCAGAAAGCAAAGGCAGTGTCCCCTCTTGTAAAGGAGGGCCTCTGTAAAACCCAGGAAGAAGAAACCAGAACCAGGGCGCCTGGGTGGCTCCGTGCATTGAGCATCCAACTCTTG